GCATGGGTAGGGTCCCTAGGCCTGATCGGCAATTAGGACCGATCACAGCCTTCCTTCCCCAGCTACCAGCCAGGGCCGCCTTCACTCTGCACCACCCCCTGGTGGTCAGCGCATGTCATAGTGGGCGGTCGCACTCGTGCAGGGACAATTTGCATATTAGCCTTTTATGATATAGGATTTTTATAGATTTCAGAGAAGGAAGAAGGAGAGAGAGAGAGAAACATCGACGATGAGAGAGAATCATGGACCGGGTGCCTCCTGCACACCCCCTACTGGGGGTCGAGCCTGCAACCCGGGCATGTGCCCTTGACCGGGAATCAAACCCTGACCTCCTGGTTCATAGGTCGACGCTCTAACCACTGAGCTCACTGGCCAGGCCCACGAGGGTGGAAAACGCAGCTGCGGGCAAAGTGATATTTAGGAACCACGGTTTTGGCCTTCAGACACCTCCAACAACCCCCGGTTTTCCATCCGGGCTCCGCGTTCCCTGGGACCCGGGGAAGGTATCGCCCCGATGCCGGCTTACCACTAATTAATTCCCTTCATCTTTCTCTTTCTTTCATGTTTAAACAAAGGGAGGCAGCCTCAGCTGCAGAGCCCTCGGGCCGGCAGGAGAGCTAACGAGAATTTAATGGCTTTGTTTGGCTTCCACAATTTTCTCTTAATGCTTCAGTTAAATCGATGATAAATGACACCGGCTTTGCATTAAAAAAAAAAAAACACAAAAAAAAACCCCAAAATGATTAAATAAAGTTTATTTCCAGCCCGGCCGGTGTGGCTCAGTGGTTGAGCGTCGACCTAGGAACCAGGAGGTCCTGGGTTCGATTCCAGGTCAGGGTGTATTGTAGCTGTCCTGGCCGTGTGGCTCAGAAAAAACCTGGAGTCCTAACTGTTTTGCCTCTGTGGATAGAGCGTCGGCCTGAAGACTGAAGGGTCCCAGGTTCGATTCCTGGCCGAGGGCACGTGCCCGGGGTTGTGGGCTCGATCCCCAGGAGGGGGCGTGCAGGAGGCAGCCGATCCATGATTCTCTCTCAACATGGATATTTCTAACTTTCTCTCCCTCCCCCTTCCTCTCTGAAATCCATAAAAAAAATTTTATAAAAAATATATGTGTCTATCTATAATCATAAAAGTGTAATATGCTCATTCGGACCAGAGAACTTAACGACCTTCCGGACGTCCTTCCGGACGACCTTCTGCATGAAACTGGGGCTGCAAGGGCCGAGCCCCTTGTGGAATTTCGTGCACCGGGCCTCTAGTATTTATATATATTTTCAACTAGAGGCCCAGTGCATGAAATTCATGCACAGGTAGGGTCCCTAGGCCTGGCCAGTGATCAGGGCCAATCAGGGCCTTCCGGCTGCCGGCCGCGGCCTCCCTTCATTCGGCGCCACCTACTGGTGGTCAGGGCACATCGTAGTGAGCAATCAAAATCCTGGTCGAACTTCCGAGGA